ATCTCCTTTAATCCTCATACCCATTCATTAAAATGGGTATTATTAGCCTCATTTTTCATACAAGAAATCTTGCTCAAGATCATAGCACTGATAAGTGATGAAATTGGGATCTGAACCAACTCCATCTTACAATGAAGAATGCATCATTCCTACTACACCAAAGAAAGCATACAATGAGAGAAAAGGAAGGAATACTCAGGGCAGAGGCTGGGATATATCAACATTAAAGTGACAGATGAAGTGAGGTGAGCAACAACAACAAAAAGTGATTTCAGAACATGCAATCAGAGGGACAGAGAAGTATCAGGAGAAAGTGTTATGTGGGAATCCAGGAACCAGAGAATGTTAAGACAGGTGGTCAAGAAGGTCAAATGCTGTAGAAAAGTCAGGCTGAGGACTGGAAAGCCCATTTCATCTACCATTTAACAGGCTTTGGTGATCTTTTTGAGAGCTGACACTGTAGCACAGTGGGGTGAAAAGTCAGATGGCAGTGAACTGAGATGACCCCAGGAAGTAGGAAGACAGAAGCAGTGAAGGGAAGAGAAAGGGTCTTAGCTGGAGAGGAAGGTGGGAAGGAATCAGGGCTCTTTAGGATGAGAGGTCATTTGCAGGCTGAGTTGAGGGGCTGGTGAAGGAGAAACAGACACAAGGGGAGGGGTGTGAATGATGCAGCAAGGTTTCAGAGGCGGGGAAGAGGGCCACCTCCTCCTCTGATCAGGACGAGGAAGGAACAGGTACCTCTGTGGGGAAACACGGAGGTAGGGAAGAGGGCAGTTGAAGGAGCTCAAATACAATCACCCTTCTATTCGTTATACCTGGTTCATCTGTTGGCAGTGAAAGGGACAGGGAGAGTGAAGGAGGTTTCAGGAAAAAATGCCCTGTAGGAAGCTAGAAAAAACAGTGACTGCTAAAGATTTCCTGGCAGCACCAAGGACTCGGCTAGGACTGGAAATCATAACTCTGTAATTGAATCAATCAGCAAGGTTATATGATTTCCTCTAAATGTGCCCAGCAGGCTTGGACCATGAATGGAGGGAACTAGAAATAGGTTAACGGAGGACTGGAAATGGTCGGAGACGCAGCGATCAGCAGGGCCGAGGAAGTGAGGGTGGTGGTGAGAGTGTGTTTGAAGGGACTGACCACCGACTTGGAACTGGGGAGAAGAAATCAAAGAAAACTGATAAAGGAAAGCTGATAAACTGAGGAAATGGAGAAGAGTAAGGAGAATTCGATGCGACTGAAAACAAGTTTAATGGGAATGGAGGAGTGTGGAAAGTGGGGCTTTGAGCGCACAGTCTGAGTTCAAGATCCCAGGGGAAGGGCAGTTCTGTGGAATACGTTCCAGGATGTGGCCTCAGTATGGCCTTACTGAAGCACAGAGGGGACAATCATTGCAGTGGGGACGGCCATGGAACTGGGAGGCTGGACTGTCTTCATCGTGGACCCTGAAGTCATTCCAGGAGAGTGGTTGATGTTCAAATGCTCAGGATAGTTAGTACTCTGCCCAGATTCATCTGATTTTCAAAACTGATAAGCACGCCTCCAATGAAACCATTCATTAAAACCTTTTTAATTGAAGAAAGGCCTTTGTCATGTCACTACCATGTCTGCACGTTCTATTAAGTGGCATCTAACAAGAGATCAGACATGCACAACTGAGTGGGGCTATTCTTGTCCACAGGTTAAGGGTCACACTGACTTCGGGTCTCTGCCCTTTAAATCTAAGTTGGGAGCCAACCACTAAACTAAGCCTCCGTTTGTCTCCTCTTTGACCTAAAAATACCTACCTACCAAGGGGTGGGAAATACCTTGTTCTTGCTATAAATGCCTACTGCTGGCTCTGGAAAGAAGTGACTTGAAAGACCAAGTAGATGCTTATGAGGACCAGCCACCCTACCCGCTCCCCTTTCCCCACGAAGATGTTTATCTTAAAAGAGGCCTATGGTGCAAGCCCAGGCCCTGAACAGCTCTGCTACTTCGTTTTACAATTTGCTAGAGCTGCTCCTGCAGCAGATGAAATAAACACAGTGATTTCTGCAAGAGGCTGGTACTCTCTGGGGGTTGGACTAGAAGTTTTCTTTTTCTTTTCCTTCTCCTCCTCCTTTTTGCTTTATAATCTTTTTGCGAATTGTAACTTCTGTGAAATCCAGATGTGTAAAATAGGGAAAAGTAGAGCTTCTCTGTTAGGCCTGGTGGGTGGGGTTCATAAGCCGGTTTGCTCCTTTTCTTTTTCCCTACCTCCAAATCACTCCCCCACCCTCCCAGCCCCACAAACACCACCCTGAGCATTTAAAGTAACTCCTTCAGGGCTTTTTGCAGCAGTTGGTTGGGGAAGGAAGGGGTGGTGGAAGCACACTGCATTTTGTTTCCTTCTAGTCTTATCATTTTGTATGTCTAATATTCAGTGAAGACAAGATGCAAGAGGTCCAGCAAATTAAAATATCTGAGTTACTAAGAAATATCTCTTGAACATGCTCCTAATTCTTGATCTGTTTCCAACAACAGTTAGAGAAACAGCAGGACCACGATCAGATTCCCATCAGGCCCACAGGAATGGTACAGCTAGTAGAAAGTAGAAGAGGTGGTTGCCTGGAGATTGGGGAAGAAGAAAATGGGAGTTACAGTTTAATGGGTACAGAGTTCCAGTTTTGCAAGATGAAAAGCGGATGGATGCTGGTGATGACAGCACATCAATGTGAATATACTTAATGCTACTGAACTGTACACTGAAAATCAGTTGTCAAACTTTAGATGGTAAATTTTATGTTATGTGTATTTTCACCACATTTTTTTTAAAAAAGGCAATGGTTTCTGGAATATCATCCAGCCATTAAAAATAATGGTCATTCAGATTTCATAACACAGATGAAAAGGCTTATGATGGTGTGAAATTTTTAGGGCAAAAAAATTCAGTTGATATCTAAACTATATAAAGAGCTCATATAACTCAATAGCAAAAAAACGAACAACCTGATTTAAAAATGAGCAGAAGACCTGAACTGACATTTTCCAAAAAAAGACATACAGATGGTCAACAGGTACATGAAAAGATGTCCAAAATCACTAATCACTGGGGAAACGCAAATCAAAACCACAATGGCATACCAACCCACACCTGTTAGAATAACTATTATCAAAAAGACAAGAAATAACAAGTGCTGGGGAAGATATGGAGAAATGAGAATTCTTGCACACTGCTGGTGAAAATGTAAATTAGTACAGCTACTATGGAAACCTGTATGGAGGGTCCTCAAAAAAGTTAAAAATAGAACTATCATATGATCCAGCAGCTCCACTCACTTCTAGATATTTACCCAAAGAAACTAAAAACACTAACTCGAAAAGATATATGCACCCCTACGTTTATTGCAGCATTATTTACAAGAGCCAAGCTATGGAAACAAGTGCCCATGGACACATGAATGGATAAAGAAGATGTGTTGTATACACACACACAAACACACACACACACACACACACACACACACAGAGAGAGAGAGGGGGGGGGAGGAATACTACTCAGCCATAAAAAAGGAAATAAATCTTGCCATTTGTGACATGGATACAGCTTGAAGGCATTATGCTACGTGAAATAAGTCAGACAGAGAAAGACAAATACTATATGATCTCAGTTATATGTGGAATCTTTGGAAAAAAACAGAAGTTCAAAGATACAGAGAATAGATTGGTGGTTGCAAGAGACTAGTAGTTGCAAGAGGTGAAGGAGGTGAAAAGGTAAAAACTTCCAGTTATAAAATAAGTAAGGGATATAATGTATAGCATGGAGACTACAGTAAATAATACTATATTGCATATTTGAAAGTTGCTAAGAGAGTAAATCTTAACAATCTTCAACACAAGAAAAAAATTTTGTAACCATGATGATGTATGATAATTAAACAATATACAGAAATACTGAATCATTATGTTGTATGTCTGAAACTAATATAATGTTACATGTCAATTATACCTCACTAAAAATATTTTATATATAACTGTAATTATTTAAAACAAATCTGCAGAAATGGGGGAAGGACTAACAGGAAATACACCAAAGTGCTAACAGAGGATGTGGTACACAATTTTCTCCCCACTCCATTCTACATTTCAAAAAGTTCTACTCAGGTAAAAACTTTCATAATGAAAAAAAAGTTTCTAATATTTTTAAATGTTTAAAGCAAAGTAGATTCCTTCCTGACTATAGTGGTTTCTTCACATCACTTCATGTCCCTAGTAGACACACAGAGAAATGATATACTAAAGAGTTACTGGGATTTTTTTTCATTCTTTACATATATTTATTGAGTGCTATTTAAGGACAGGGCACTGTCCTAGATACTGGGGGTATGGGGTGAATAAGAAAAAGTCCCAGCCCTCACAGAACTGATATCTAGTGAGGGAACACAGCTAATAAATAAAAAACAAATAAAATATGCTAAATACCGATAGCGCTGAGAATTAAAATAGGTAATACGATAAACAATAGCATTTTTAGATTGGGAGATCATGAAAGGCTCAAAGGATATGAAATTTGAGCTGATATCTGACTGACAAGAATCAGACTTGGGAAGAAAGATGAGTGAGCCAATGCCAAGACCTTGAGCAAAAATAAATGTGCCTGGTTTGAGGAACTGAAAGAGCCATTGTGTCTGGGGGGTACTGGGTAAGGGAGTGGTATGAGGTGAAGACATTGCCCCTTCCTTCAGGAACTTGTGATGAAATAGAGCACGGTAGTCATGGAGATAGTTCCTGACACTTCTCTTTTGGTATAAACCTTCAGACAACTTAAAACTTACAATATTCTGCAAAGCAAAAAAAGTCAGGACTTTTAAAAAAGAATTTAAGTATCCATTTTTTTTCTACAGACTAGTTTCCTTATCTGTAATCAAAGGGATTGCATGGCAACGTTTAGCCTCAGAGAGGAAGCAGACATTAGTGCATATTCCAAAGAACGAGCCCATGCTAAGAAACCGAAATTGTTCTCCAAAATCAAGGCTTACCTATCCTTCCCAAACTCAAATTTCCCAGGTCCAATTCGAAGTAGATAGCCATTGAGCCACTCAGGAAAACGTCCCTGGACTCGAGCAGAGATGATCTGCGGAGTCTCCTCTACCGTGGTTAGAAGTGGTGCAATACATGGAAGATTCTTCTGCTTACTGAAGACCACTTCTTTCTGATGAGAATTTCTGACATACTTTTTCAAAACTGAAGAGGAAATCAAAAGCACAAAAATGTTACCAATCTTCTGTAAACATGCTGGTTCTTTATAGACAATAATCTCATCTACCGATAAGGGAAATGTAAACCTAACACCAAACATGGTCTCCAAACTCCTCTCCTTCCTCATTCTCAGACCATCAGCTCTTTGGTTCTCCATTTCTGAACCACCACAGTATTTTTTATATTCTTGAGGTACAAGTCTGCCTAAGATTTAATTACCATTACCATCATTTCCCAGAGTTAAACAATGCTGGTCTTTTCACAAGACTGAATCTACATGCTAATAGCAACCTCGTTGCTATAATAAAAAATGCCCACCATTCAATATTGTCATAATTACCTTGTCCTCAGGACTTTAGATACACCAGAATGTGATCCCAAAGATTTCACAGTGCTTTATCAGATTCAGTAGGATCTGCAACTTAATTTTTTCTATTTTAATGGTATACATATTAATGTACACAGTATTTCTAGGAAAAAGGCGTCATAAAGTAAATTATACAGTGATACCTGGTCTGAAATTACCTGAAGTTGAAAAGTCACACACAAAAAAATCATTATTTTATAATAAAGAGATGAAAATTGTGCCTATAATTTCATACTTAGTGTTCATTCATGGGGCATTACTGCCTAACACAGAGGGATGGTCAAATATATAATTAATTAGGTACTATAAAATACAGTCCTTTATTTCATTTCATAAAACTTTAACAGTGATATAGAAGTCTAAACTAGGGAACGGGGGGAGAGTATAGCTCGAGTGGTAGAGTGCATACTTAACATACACAAGGTCCTTGGTTCAATCCTCAGTACCTCCTCTAAAAATAAGTCAATTTGATTACCTCCCCTCTAAAAAAATTAAAAATAAAAAATTTAAACTAGGAAATGAACAAACTAACACTTAGGACACTATTCCTCTAAAAAAGTAAGATTTGTGTTCTTTTAGCAAAATATTTTACAATATTATATCCTATTCCATTTCCTCAAAATCTTTCAAAAATTCAGTTTGGAGCACAGGAGACTTTCTACTTTCTTGTAAGCAACATTTCAGTCAAACTCAGCTATTTCCTAATTCCCCAAAGAAAATCATTTTCACCCTGAATGCCATCCCACTAATCTATCCCTGAAGAAATGTTATCTATTGTTCAAAGTCTATCTCAAATGCTACTTCCTTTAAGGGGCAGTACAGTGTAACACTTACAAGTGTAGGCTCAGGCTCTGACTGGCTCTAGAATACATGGGTTTAAATCTCTGTACAGTTTCCTCCCAAGCAGGGGATAACAATAATTCTTATTGCTCTTAAGGTTATAAATAACAAATGAGTTAGGTTATATAAAATTTTCAGAACATAGTAAATACTCAAAATGTTAGCTATTATTATTTATGGAGCTTTTAATGATCAATCCAACAAAATGTAGTATCTTCTTTCTTTGAGTTATTTATTCATTCAATAAAGTGGTATGCACTGCTGCAGGGTAAAAGGCATTAAAACTGATAAAGAAATTCACTGCCTAGGAAACAGACATACAAGTAGATCATTTATACAGTAGTCAGTGTTTTGGTTGAGCGCTGTTTCTCAAAGTATGGTCTAAGGGCTACTTGTAACAGAAATACCTGGCATTATTGCTAATGTGCAGATTCACGGATCCCACTCCAGACCTAATAAAACAGAACCTCTGAGATAAGGCGAGCAGGTATTCTAAGGCATACTAAAATCTGAGAATCACAAAATCAGAGGTATACAGAGGATGCTTTGAAAACTCAGAAGAGGAAACCATCAGGCACTCATCTTACTACTGCTATCATGATGCATATTTATCCTATTCTCCTAGATTAAAATAAACTCCCTGAGTCAGGCATTTTACTCCCCTTACTTAAGCAGAATTAAACTGAATACTCTGGGCATTTGTCTTAATAGAGATTTATGAATTTAAAACATTTTGTATTTGTGAAAATATTTGCATGTTTGTTTTATAGCCCATAGCATGCTGCTGGTAGTTTGTTACATACTCTTCCTATTTTCCACAGCACTTGACACTGCAGTCAACACCTCCTTAAACCCCCTTCTACTCTTGCCTTCTGAGATACTGCACTTTTCTAACTTTCCTGCCCTCTCTTTGTTTGCTTTATGCCAGCTGACAACCTTGGGCAAGTTACTAATCACTCTGAGCCTTAGGGTTTTCAATGATAAAATAGGGATAGTGAGGATAAAAGGAGGATGAAACTTCCTGTTCCGTCTACCATCATAATTAAATACAACAGTAAATAACTTTCAAATATTAATTCCCTTTATTGGCTCCTCTTCTTATCACCTCATGAATATGTTCCTGAAGTCTGACCTTGGACCTTTACTCTTTAATCTCAGCACTCTCCCTGGTAATCTCATCTAGTTCCTCAATTTTACTGATTACTTCTCAACATACCACCATGACTCTCAACATGTCAAGAGAATTTTTCACTTTCCCCCTTCCAAATTAATTTTCTCACCTGCTAAACAACCTAGCTTCAAAATCGCTCTGTGCCTTGAATTTATCTCCTTCACTGTCCTCCTAATGTTCACTAAGTGGTTAAACCCTGCTGACTATCCTCACACAGGCCAGGAAGAGGATGCTAAGGGGATGATACAGGGTAGCCAGTATAAATTACCAGGGTGCAGAAGTTTGCAGCGGTGCCTAGGGTAAATCCCTTGTAAAGATTTTCCCAGTCCGCCCCTCCTGGGTAGTCCCCTCAGTTTTTCTTCCAGCGTGAACCTGTCCTCATCAGCACTGATGCTTCATCTTCTCTTACCTAGCAGTAACTTCCTTTCTTCTGTCCTAATTTAGGCCCTTACAACCTCTTAGATGGCTAGTATCACAGCCTCTTAGTTGAAACTAGAGAGGGTAGCCTTCATCTATGCTAGAACTTGCTAACTGACGGGCCTGTTGATTCCCTTAGCTTTGGGGATGGCCCGAGGCCCCAAGTCAATCACCTCCAGCCCTAAGTAGCTCAAGGGGCTCCAGATTCCATCCAATTTACTCCAGTGTGATGCAAAAATACTATTTTCTATGTGAGCTATAATGTGAAAACAGTTAGGAAGCAATGCTACTAAATAAATCTTCCCATCTGACTGTATCATGCATTCCTCCACAAAACCTTTACAAATGAGTCTTCACTGTCTACCAAGTAAAATCTAAACTACTTGACCAAGCACTGGAGGTACGTACAGTCTCACACCAACCCGCCTGTCCAGGTCTGTCTCACTAATACCTTTCCCTCCAGCCAAACTGGATCACTCCTCATCCTCTTCTCCTCATAACTGCACCCTTTTGCTTACCTAGGATATTTCTTACCTCCTTGAGGTGATGCATCCTTCAAGATGCAGTGCCCATGTCACCTGCTTTATAAACACCACATTCCCATTTCGCATAGCAAGAACTGATTCTGTCTGAAATCACACAGCATGTTTTAGTACCCTTTAGGCATTTACTTATTCTGTCTAGTGTGATAAAGAAGAATATACTTTGTAACCTTTACTACCGATACTCCTTCAGTACATGGTCTTGTTTTTGTCCCCACCCCAGTATTTAACACATTGCCCTGCATCCGCAAGCATTACATTATTGAATTAAATAATTTTAAGGGCTTTAGCGCACATTAGCATTTCTAATTGCTCTGTATCAGCCAATTTCAAGAAATAAAATCATGTAACAGTTGCTGTGATAGAAAGCTCCAAAACAATAAACAGAGGTTTTAAGGCAGTCACCCAGAATGCAAATAGAGGCAGCAAACATTTACATTAGAACATGTAGCAGTGATTTTCAATTGAGAAAGTTCTAAATAGTGAATATTCTTCCTATTGCAGATCCAAGAGAATTCTTAAACCCCAAATCCAGTCCCTATATGTTGCATAAAATACACAAATGGAAAGGCTGTTTTCCTGACAAGAAAACAAATCCTGACTCAATTTTCTTTAATTCCCAGCTCTGCAGTGTTGCTGCCTGGATGTGCGCCACAGAGAATGGAAATTTCAGAAGCTCCTAGTATTCTTCAGGAAAGAGGCACGCAGTTCTAAGTTCAGGCTAGTAGGAAAAGGAAAAAGAGGAGGAGGAAGGGGCAAATCCCCTACCTGGGATCCGGTGTACTATCACAGAAAGGATATCACCTGCAATGGCAGAAAGATTGCTGAAAAAACGTAAAAAGTTTTGAAAAAACATTTTTGTTTTTGAGTTTAGTAGCAGCAGATTCCGTGATTCCCAGATCCTCACACTGACTGGCAGTGAAGTGAAACACTCACTTCCTGGGCTGTCCTTGGCTCACTGGCAAAACAGAAGGGAAAGGAGACGGGTGGAGGGGGCAGGGGTGTTAAAAAGGGCGGGGTTTCAAAAATGCCTGCAGTCTCTTAGTCTCACTTCCCGGACTGGTATCCCAGCAACCTATCTATAGTTAAGTTGCTGTTTGAAATACTGACATTGGACCACCAATAGTGGTCTCCCTCCCGAAACTTTGCTCTTTGAAATCTGTCTTCACACTACAATTAAGTCAGCTGATGAATGGGATCAATTTCATTATCCCACTCCTCTCCTCTGAATGAGTCAGATCTCTTTACTCACAGAATAAAGTCCAAATTTAATCTGTCAACAAAGGACCCTTTAATCTGGCTACAACCTACCTTTCAATCTTTGTCTCACTGCCTTTCTAACATTTCGTCTTTCCTTTTCTTTTCTATTCATTTAATTTGCTAAACATTTCTAACAATCTAGTATGAATAAAGCCCTGTGAAGGTATGTCCTTAAAAAATTTATATATAGTTTTATTAATTTAACAAACATTTCTGAGCAACACTACTGGGCTACAAATTGAAACTAGATTCTGTGCTGTTCTCTAAGCCGGTTTAGATGATACACTGTTCCCCTTTGTGAATTGTCAGCTCAGTAAAGTGACTTATCACATGTTTTTTGTTCTTCTGTGCCTTTGAACAAACTTTTCCCTCCTGAAATATCTTTCGACTTTGCTTTCCAAAAACTCATTTCAAAACCTACCTCTCTGACCCCCTTGCCAAAGCCTTCTAGTAACTCCCACTAGAAGGAGTTAATAGCACTGTCACGGAAATACTTTTAACACTTACATGGCTTCCTAGCAAAGATGTATAACTGTATTTCAAGAAAGGAGTGGTTAAAATTGTCAGAAGGGAGAACCAAGTATCTTAAACTATTCTGTATCCCCCACAGTGCCTAGCAGATCATGAAATACAATTTGTAACTAGTGAAAAATAATTCATAAACTTGTGAAATTTTACTGAAATGAGTGAGAAGTATAAATTAAAGGGCAAATATATTCCTGCAATAATATACATCCAGTTGTGCGATAATTATTCTTATTTATGTGAATGATACCAAAGACATCAAATTTGAGGGAAAAAAACCCTTAATTAGGCTTTCAGAAACTTTTTCCCCAGGAGGTAGCTGTTTTAACCAGTAAGTACATTGTGACTAAAAATCAGTTCCCTAGTCTTACACACATTAAATGAAATGATCAATTCTCTGAACTACACAGAGAAGAACCAGATATTGAACGACAGTGACACTATCGAGACATAACAAATATGAAATCCACTCTGAAATAATTAGCCTTATCTTTCACATTAATAATAAATGCTTAGAAAAAAAATAAGTTGAGAATATTTCTTAATGATGATAAGCTAGCAGAGTCACCTTCATATTTAAACAGTAAAGAACTCTGTAAGGTAACAGAATAACTCAAAATCCAGCTGATAAATCGTATCAACTCAAATATAGTCATCCTGTTGCATTCAGTATTTAAAATCCCATTTCTAATAGTTACTTTACTGACCTTCAGCCTATCCTGTACCATCAACATATCCCTCTACAAACCTAATAATTTTTCCCACTTAATAACAACATTTTTAGTAAATATTTACTTTACTGTTTTCAGTCTTTTCTTGTATGAGTAGTTCTTTTATGTGGTATATATGCCTTAAAATAGTAATTTGATGGAAC